AATGTGATGAACGTTCTTGGTAGGAAAGAGTCTTTATTTTAATAATCTGAAGATTGGTCTATATCATTATGTATACAAGGCTTCTGTTCTCTGTAAGAGTATATTTCCTGGAAGCATCCACTAGATTTGCTCTGCAAAACCTTCAGTGTCTTAAATTAGCTGTTATTTGTAGTGGTTATTCTAGTTGTAGTTTGTTTAATTATGTCACTTTTTGTTGAAATGTTTATAACCCTGTTCTCTGCAATATTAACTCCCTGAGGGCAGAACCTTTCCCATCTATTCTGTATATGTATAATGGGCACTTTAAGAATGCTAGTAATAATGATGTCTTGTTGGTTGGTTACTCAACCATCGAATAACGACACTCAGCTGATGAGACCTCACAGGCCAGTTAAGTCTACTTTCATAGCCACAGATTGTTCTGCACACCGTCTTGCAAATGTGTGCTCTTGGTCAGAAGGGAACTGGTCATAAAAGGAACATCTGCCTTTTCCCATCTAGTGGGAAAAAAATAGCTATCCTGGAGTAAACAGACTTGGTTTCTAGGCATTTTGCTGCTGCTAGAGATGACCTTAATAGACTCCCTTATCCTCTTTGTACTTCAATTTCTCCATCTGTGTAACAGGCATAATAAAATCCGTGCTCTGTTCTCGTAGAGCTATGGTGGGGATAAAACAAATGATTAACTGTTCATTTTCTTTTAAAATGTTGGAAGTCACGGTCCTGGGTGGCTGTCAGTTAAGTGTCTGACTCTTGATTTCAGTTCAGGTCATGATCTCAGGGTCCTGAAATCGAGCCCCGGGTGGGCTCCGAGCTCAGCATGGAGTCTGCTCGTCCCTCTCCCTCTGCTCCTCCCCTGCTGCTCACGGGCTCGCTCTCAAATAAATAAATGAATAAAATCTTAAAAAATAAATAAAATGTTGGGAGTCCTACACAATTAGAGTTTGCTTTTTTTCTGTTACCACTTCTATTAAGGTGCTCATCCCATCATCTTAGAGTTACACTGAAATTTTTGAGGACAGAGTCCGTGTGTAACCCATTTGTAGACCTGGTACCTACCGTACGTGTGGCATAAAATAGGCACACAGAAATAGTTCCTGAAAGAGCAAGTAAATTTTGTTACTAGAGGAGAGAGAAGAAATCTGGTTTCTATTCCCTGCCTTTGTTGCCATATAGCCACGATAACCAACTGAGACAAATTAGTTAACCTCTCTGGGCCTTGGTTTTCTCCTCTAAGATAAGAGATCTGGACCATCCTGGAGGTCTCTTATTTTTGCAGAATACTAAGCTAAGGCTTTATGTAATTGTTACTAAAATTGTGGGTTTGGTAAACCGCTCTATTCCCAGTTCCTAAAACAGTACCTGCCTTGTAGTATGGACAAGAAGTTCCCTTTTCATATGTAAAGAAGGGAGCAGGAGGTTCTGCATCCCCATTTAGCAGTATGCAGAGTGCTGCACTGGTGATGGTTGGACTCTAGAGCTCCTTAGTCTTGTTCTAGATGTGTTCCTTGGATTATGAGGAATGAGAAAACTTAAGTTTCACTTGGTTTTTTGAAATAATGTTACAACATTTTAATTTGCTAAATCTCTTTTCCTTTCCCTTTATTACCCCCTGGCTGACTTGGCCTGACAGAATGAATCTTTGATCCCACATAGAAGCAGAGCCTGCACAGCTCTGTGATCTGGGGAGTGTGCTGGGCTTTCCAAAGTGGCCTGCCTCTGCAGTGTTGTGAGTGGGCGCCCCCTGAGAGTTCCTCCTTCCTTACCGGACAGGAGCTAAACCAATGTGATCTTTAACTCTAGGCCTTTCTCTCTAGCCCCTGCGGGTATTAACCTTCAACTATTCTAGTTTCAGGTAAATGACAAATGTCAATATATAGCAGTCTGAAAACTTTATTTTAGATTTTGCCAAAGCTTCATTTTGGTCCTCAGTATAGAGAGTATTCTATAGCTCTTGCTTTCTCTATTTTATTTTATTTTGTTTTGTTTTATTGTATTTATTTATTTGAGAGGGAGAGAGTGTGTGCACACACGCATGCGAGTGGAAGAAGGGGCAGAGGGAGAGAGAGATTCCTTTTTTTTTTTTTTTTAAGATTTTATTTATTTATTTATTAGAGAGCGA